CACACACACACACACACACACACTCTCTCACTCTCTCACTCTCTCTCTCACTCTCTCTCTCACACGCACACACACAATCATTTTTTGTGCACGTCTTTCTCTGTGTTCTCTGTGTCTTTCTTCCTTTGATTTTTTTAGTTCTTTTCTTACTTTTTGCCTAAGCGAGCACCTCCACGCAGTGCCAAACAGTCGGTCATTCTGCGTTTCGAGGGCCTAAGGCAATATTAGGGGGGCTGCTCAGTTTGGGATGCCTGTGTGACCTACAGGTGATGACTGATGTTTGTCCGAGTGTCTACCTGGCTCAGCGGCTGGTGTGAACCAGCAGTCCGTGGTGTTCATTTGGTTCGAGTAGGTGATGTTATGCTTCGCTCCATGTTGGATGTGTGGACAACATTGTCTGTCCTCCGCTGTTGCCCTGCTGTGCATCCCGTTTGCTCCCCGTGTCGATCTTTGCAGCTGGTGTCTTGCCGTAGTTTGACCGCTTTGATGTTGTTGCCCTGTGCTCCGCTGTGCTTTTGCCTTGCTGCCCATCTCTGTACTTCGTCCTCCTTTGACAGTGCTGCCTTGTGCTTCGCTGTGTTGTTGCCATGTCGCCCATCTGCTGGGCAGCGTCACCGGGTGCTTCGCTGAGCTGTTGCCCCCCCCGCTGGCAGTCTGCTTTCACATCTGCTTGCGCCGTCGTTCCATGCAGTCGCTTTGGTGATAAGCAGTTGCTTTGCCTGTGCAGCGTCACCGGGTGCTTTGCTGAGCTGTTGCCCCCGCAGCTAAGTTGCAGTTGTGGTGTTGCTGCTGGCAGTCTGCTTTCAACACGGGTCAACGGGTTCATGACCCAAAGCATCAATATGGGGATTCCGGAGATTGTCGAGGGTTCAGCCTCATGAAGAGTCGGTGCAAGTCTGATGAAACAATCTCTCGTCATCAGTTTTCAAATTTTCAGTCTTTGCATGTTTTTCGCCACTTTTGGGACTTCCTTTTTTCTGGTTTGCCTGCTTTGTGTGCTTGTGTGTTGTGCCCTCTCGCCTCAGCCGTGCCCTCTTATTGCCTCGGACGTTGGATTCCTAAGGTGGTTCTCTTCATGGTTCTCTTCTGGCATCTGGTTATTGGCTGTTTAGATTCCATAATGATATTTTTTTCGATTAGCATATCTAGAACAATCGGGCTGTTTGGTGGGCAACGGCGGTATGCTCTGTTTGGCTGCCGCAGCTGTGCACGCGCACACACACACACACATGCAGACACACAGACAGACACACGCACACACACACCCGCACACCCACCCACACACACACACACACACACACACACACACACAGAGCGGCTACGGTCGGGCTTGTACTAGCGAGCTGTTCTTTTTTGTGGTTGGATGATTGGTGGTTGTTTTTCATTCATACATGGTCTAGTTCTTTGCCCTGCTTTAGAGGATGGGCTGTCTTTTGATGAAGGCATGCACAGTGATCACCTGGAGCTGTGCGCCGTGGGTGTCCTGGAATATGAGACCACCTCCCATCCCATCCTCCCATCAATACTCCTAGCGCACCACCTATCCTACTATCCTACCTCAGTGTGACCAGCACTCCAGCACTCAGGACCATTGCCCTACCAATGGGCAGCTGATAGTTTGCCCAGCCCTGGTGGAAGCGGAATCGGACGAGCCTTGTCGAGCTGGAACTTCCGACGCCAGGCCCAGACAATCTACTGCAGGCCCCAAGAGACATGGACCCTAGGTTTATACAGGGTAGCACCCACTGAAGCTGTCTTACCGTCCTTTCCCTAGCTTACCCAAGGCCAGGCGGAACTCGGACTGCCCTGAGTGACTTCTGTCCCGACCCTTACCCTAGGGTCTAAGCCTTGTATATATAGCCACCAGACAGTTCTATCCGATTTCAGTAGGAACCCCTCACCTGAACCTACTGCAGATACTAGACCCCACCCAGTGACTAGACCCCCCCAGCCTGATATTATAGGTGTACCTATGTACCCACCGGGAAACTTGTGTATGTAGCCCGTAGGCGAGGTGTAGTTTGCAAGCTATATGTATACCCGAAGGCTGTGTATGCTCTGTGAATCTATGTATCGAGATGTACAGAGTCCTACAGACAGCATCGTGTGTGTATATCGAGGAGAGAACGGGGCAAGCTGGACAAGGACCCCCCCCCCCAAGGTCCAAACCAAGCTCGAACCCGTGACCTTGTAACATGTAATCAAAGACTCTACCGCATGAACAACGATCGGAAATGGCACGAACGTGTGATGCGCTAGACTGGGGAGCTCAACAGAACACCCAAGACCAACACCCCCAGGCAACCCCTGCAGAACCCAGAACCAACATACAGCACCACGGACTACCCTTGGGTGGTGCGCAGGCAGTGTCTGTAATAGTACCATGCGTGGGAATGTTTGTTTGGAGTTATGGCCATGGTATCTTCACGAGGAGGCTCAGAGAGTCGTTGCTGTGGGTGTCACTCCGACAGGCTGCTCTTTTGGAGCACGTGGACAATGGTGGAGTTTCTATGGTGTTTAAAGCAGTAGTGCTCCTGGTGTCACATAGAGGTTCTGTGTGAGTTCTTTGTGGCTCTGCGGGCCGACTTCGAGGGCTCTCCTAATCCTTTTGGACCAATGGGAGGTTTGGTCGGTGCTTTCTTGTTGGTAGAGCCTTCTGTGTTGTGGCGCACTTGTTCTGGGAAATTTCAAATTTGCGATCGTACCTGACTTCTATTTTTCCAGAAATTTTGTTGTTGATGTTGTTCATTTTATTGTGCTGCGCTGTCAGCGAGCTGACCAGGGACCATGCCCAGGAGGTCCAGGCAGCCAGAGGCAGCCCAGGTGCCCAGTGGAACAATATTCCCATAAGGAGGCAGCACCGGTGCCCGGCCTGGTATACTAGGTTCGTTGTACAGGAACTCGGATCTTGGAATCACAATTGAATGTTAAACACAATTCAGTGCACGTGCAACCTGCATTCTAGAACTGTAACCGACTACCAGACTACCACCACCTTAAGCACAAGTTCTCAAATTCTCAGTCAATGGCAAGTGAAGGTAATTGAACCGGCCAAAATTGACATAGCAGTATGGACGCCCATAGTAGAGGGCAATATGCCCAGTTGATATCAGGTGTAAGGATACGAGTAACCAACAATTTCGGGGCTCAGCCCAAACTCAATGAGGACTTCTGCAATTCCTCTCATTGCCGCTGCGATAATAGCCATGAATGTTGCATGAACCCACCTCCCCCCCCCCCCCCCCCCCCCCCCCCCCCCCCCNCCCCCCCCCCCCCCCCCCCCACCACACACACACAAACATGCATGCATGCATGCATACACAGAAGCACAAACATGCACACACACAAACATGCATGCATGCATGCATACACAGAAGCACAAACATGCACACACACAAACAAGTGTCAATGAGAAATATGACGACAGATATCAAAATCATCAAATGCCTCAAATAGTTTGTTTCTTTTCTTCGCTTTTGCCTTTTTTGATCCACAAATTACTACACAGATCTTTAGGCCAGAAGGCCGCATTCCGTTCAGAAACCAGGCGGAGGACTGCTTTGAATGAAGGCATAACTTTCTCAGAATAACAGCAGAAGGAAGCGGGCAGCGGCAATGCTTGGCGTGAGACAGTATGTACATGATTGTCTTATCAGCTATCAGCTCTCATTTAATATCCGTTCACCAATCACACTTGCAGTAACTTTACGTTTTCATGTTATACCTAATGGTAGATCTAGAGGCACGGCCAACACATAGGACGACAGGCAGAAAAGGAAAACGAAGTGCACACATGAACAAGAGAAGAAGAAGAAGAAGACGAAAAACAAGCTACTGTTCATCACACCAGGCGCTTACAAAGCGAGCAAGGTGTTTGTTCACGAAGCCACAGATGAGAACACGTGTTTGTTCATCTCAAAGGTGTGACCTGCATCCAGACGTCCGGTCACCAAGGTCTGGATCCAGGCCAAATCACCCCCCCTCCCCCCCCAAAACAGAAGGGTTGGTCAGGGCCCTCCCCAACATCAAGGCCGAACCTCAAAATTTGATTCAAAGGTTTTTAGGGCCACTTCGCAATTTTTTTTTGGGGTCCGGACATTGGCGAAAGTCACTTCATGTGAGTTTCTTTTTGTTTGTTGGAACGTGTGTGTGCGTGTGTGTGTGTGTGTGTGTGTGTGTCTGTGTTATAAGCTTCCCCCACAACAACCCCTATTCCAACCAGATGAGTAGAACCGGACTGAGTCCGCCCAAACAGGCAGCACGAATCATAATAGAACCATTTTGAACCGTGTTTAGCTAGGGTTTCTTTGGGGCAACAGCTCCTCTTTCACTTTGCCTCGCGCGTACAAGGCTGCCCACGTTGATGGTGGTTGAGCGGCAGCTGCCCACATCCCCGTGTGCCTTAACGGCCCACTTGCACGTTATAATAAGAGGCAGAGTAAAGGGGAAGGTATGCTCCTGTGCAATTCAGTTCAGATCTTCATACCCCTGTTCATTTCACTTCAGATCTCCAGCTGTTCATTTCCCTTCAGATCTCCAGCTGTTCATTTCACTTCAGGTCTTCAKCATATGYTTAGTCTTYGYGTYTRTCGTTCGTCTTCATACTCCTGTTCATTTCTCTTCAAATCTTCAACTTATACTTTGTCTGTACTCTTACTGATGCTCATTCGTATGTATTTCCTCGTTGCACATAAGGAGAGGGTGGAGGGAAAGGGACAGGAGGTAAGTTTGTCAGGACGTGAGGTAGGGGGAAAGCAGAGTGCAAGGGTAGGGCAGGCGAGAGGTATATGATGGGCTTCGCAGAATTCTAAACACTCACCGCTGGAATAGCACATGAGGTTCATTGGTGTTTGGATTGCACAAGATTTTGAGTCAAGGAGCAGTTATTGCCTATGGTAAGTGACCATTCCTACAGACCGGACAGGACCGGTTCGGGCGTGGACTGTGGAAGCACCGCATCCAGTTTTCGCAGTCACAGTGGCTGCATCGAATGGCACGGCGCAGACAGATGTCACAGGCAACGTGGCTCCTAGCAGTTATTGCCTATGGTAAGTGACCATCCCTACAGACCGGACAGGACCGGTTCGGGTGTGGACTGTGGAAGCACGGCATCCAGTTTTCGCAGTCACAGTTGCTGCATCGAATGGCACGGCGCAGACAGATGTCACAGGCAACGTGGCTCCTACATGCTAGGAACACGGAGGCACGTCGACCACAATTATAGAGGCACTGCCGTTCTAGCCCCTGTCTACAAATTGGACATGACATGTCCGGGTGCCGTACATGAGTACAGTGCTGACTGTCGTCGTAGGTATGAAAGCAGAAACTCGCATGGACTATTCCTTCATAATCCTCACCGCACAAAGCATGTGAACCACATGCAAGTCGAATCTCCGGCGGGTCATCACATAGCGGCATAGAGCATGTTTCCTGGGTTTCCTCAGTATTTATTCCTTCTGTATGGGCAGACGACAACAGGGAGGGTCGGTCCAAAGCAAGGGCGTTCAGCTGCTGCAGGATTTGGTCCACAACAGCTCGCCTTGATGGTGATAAGCGATCAGTACCCCGCTCTGAAGCTGGTTCATATAGAGGCCCATTTTCCTCCTCGGGCTGCTGTGTGTGTCGCACGTCTGGCAAGGAAGAGGAAGAACCCTCTGCGGTTGCCGTAGGTGTATGACCAACACCGCATGTGGGACATGCTAGGAGAGGATGTGGTGGGTGATGGCACCGGGGATAGTCCACGCAGTAAAGACACATACTTTCTATGACTGCTTCCTGGAAGCACTGCCGACACATGGCATGTTGCTGACATGTCATCAGTATGGAAGAATGACGTGCACAGTTATTTAAGCATGGCAGATCAAGGCCACAACGGCATGCTGGGCAAGTAATCAGGGGGTGGGGGGGATGAGCACAAGACAAGGGATCACAATTTTCGTGGGAGAGGCTAGCAGCGACCATCCCTTCATAATGTTCGGAGCAGAGGCTATGCCGTGTACACGCCAACCGAACTGT